CCTGGATTTTGGAGAAGCTGGGACTGTAGCACAAAAAAAACATTTCATTAAAACATTGGAACTTGGAAAACATACCTTAGATAGTAGGAGGAGGAGGGGGGGAGGTCAGCCAAATCCATGGAAAAAAAATAATGAGTGTTGGTACACTTTCCACGTTCCGCCACCTTGATAAACATTCCTTTTTAGGGTAAAATGTCACCCTGTTCAACCCCTCAAGTGACCTGTGACAAGAGCCAGAATCTGTTCAGTTCATCATCTGATGTGACAAGTGACTGAACAGTTGGTCAAAATACCACAGTACACCGTGCACGTGAATGTTGAATACCACTAAGCTACACTAACTGGGAAAAAAGAATGTCTGGTCATTTTTTGGACAAAGTTGGTGCTGTAACCAAGGGGTATGCACTGGCAATTGCCGACATATGGGGTAGGGAGGGGGGGTGGTAGGTCGAGCGCTTATCCAAATTAAAAAAATTGTTGATCATTTTGCTTGATTTCGCCTTATGAGAGTCCAGAAAGTTGTTGTATCTCAATCTATCAAATCCCTATGAGTGTAGGGGCCAAGTAGGGCACAGAGAGCCCAGATTCTCATATTTTGTCCCTGTTTGGCGCATCTGACATCAGTGGCTGGGTCGGCCTGGTTCAACAACAAACATTCACCAAGAAGTTCACTCTGCCATCACTCTATTGTGAGTGCTTACCATTGGCCCTCCTCCTCCTCCCGCTAAACGTCAAATTTGTGTCAACTTTCGTAAGTTCAATGGTCTGCAAGTGGATTTTGTGCTATGCTTCAGCATTGAAGCATGTTGCACGCAGTCCGTGCACATTTACTTCTGTTCTGTCAGGTCTCAATTTTTTTTAGATCGCTTTTATTGTGATAAATACAGGATAATGCTAATATAAATACAGTATCACTTGAGTTGCCGTGGTCTCATTGAAAGGCCCACCAGAGGGTGGTTTTGCGATAACGAGTGCAAGGCGAACACTGGAGGTAGGGTGGGTTCTACATGCAAGCGACGGTGTAGGGTCTAGATAGGTGGTAAACATGTGATATATTTCCTTTTTGGGAAGCCTAGGGAGGGGGGGGTGGGTCGATGGTGCCTTATCCAAGTAAAACAACCCTGTGTATAGGTTTTTTTTTTTGCGTACCCCTTGGCTGTAACACAAGAACCAAACATTTTCAGAACTAAGCTCTGGTATATGAGGCATAGCTAAGGAGGTGTAGATTGTACATACCAAGTCTGGGGATGAATGAATGAAAACTCAGGATAAGGCAGAGCATTCACTGTGATAACTTCCAAAAATGGGATTTGACAAAATAGGAAATTCTGAATGACTGCAACCTACTGAAAGCAATTCACAACTTGAGGAAGAGATATTTTGAACACTGGATCTCCCTGCTATTGTTATGAGCTTCATAAAGTCTTTGGGCTAGAAAATTTATATCCTCCCCTAAAAGGTAAATTTGAACTTGTT